GTCTGGGGAAACACTCGCTGTTCAAGTCTATTTTAGTCCCTTGCAAGTCGATCATTGATTCACAGATTTCGAGAGGGCAGCAGAGAGCTGAACTTGACCCAACCGTGATGCTTCTTCCTAATACGAGAATTAACTTCGGGCGGAAAGTAGCTTACGATGACCTATGAAAAGGACAAAGATTGAGTGCGAAGAGTAGTGTGGTCCGCAATGGGTCCCTCACGTCTCCAGTTTCACGAATGAAAGTCACAAGCTGAAGGAATAAGGAGCAATGTTACTCCAGTGACACTTCCCTTTTCCAGTCACTCCGCCTTCAGACTCCGCCCTCATTGTCTGCCTTCTTATCAAAAGTGATCCTAGCGGACGGACCGCATGAAGCGGATGCTCGATTGCTTTTCGTGGGGCCATATGGTTCGTTACAGGGAGTCAGCTGACCGGTCTCGGTCTTTCGGTGTTTCTCCCGCACGATTGTCTGAGGCTGCTGGGGTCCTATTCAAGCTGTTGCCGGCTTTCCCTTTGGCATTTTTTTCTTCGCCTTTAATTATTATCGTTTGCAATGTACTCTAAAATCTCTTGCTTTTATCTGAAATGTTGATCGATATCTGTCACGTTCGCACTTACCTGGTTCGCCGACCATAAGCAGTTACCTCTGTTCAACGAAGAAGGCAGCTTGAAATTCTCTACCAAGTAGAGAGGAAACATTCTCTTTTAGAATATCGACACTACGGAATGTGGCTGTTGCTTCTACTCCTCGTGCCGCCATCACTTCAACGCAGAGGTGAGTACGAGTGGCATAGTTCCGAACTTCCAAATCGGGCAATGGCGCTAAAAAGGACGTCGTAAGTGGTGTCATTGCGCTTCACCCACAGCAGGAATCGACGCAATGTGGCTACGTTTCAAGGGTATACAGCGTGACTTCCGACTGGCGGGGAGCGCGGCGAAAGAGGACTTGCAAGCGGAATGATGTCCGCGGCATTCGCACCAGGACCCAATTTGCCCTGCGTGGCAGTGCTACGGCTCTCAACTCTTCCTATGCTTGTGTCTCTCACTTCACTACTGTAGCTAGTGAAGCGTGTACGCCAAGACTCGCTGTTCACCCATCCTCCACTGAAGTATTTCACCTCGCTAGGAAATAGTTTGCTGATTTACGTACGGCACCGCGACATGGATACAGTTTATTAGGTGCGATGAAATACGCGCTGCAAGCGGAGCACATACGCACCATTCGCGCTAGGACCCCCACACACCCAAGATGGCAGCGGCGCTGCGCGCGGTACTCTGCCTGCCAAGTCACTTCGCACTGTGCGACTGGGAACAAACGCTGCACACCACAGGAACTACATCAATACACAATTGTGTGGATGATTTCTCTTTTTTTATTGTAGGAGCAGATCCCACACGGCTGAAATCTCCTCAGTCCAAATCTTACCACCCCTTTTCTTTCCTTTTATTTGAACTGTCTTTCAGGTGTCTAGTTCTAGTAAAGAAAAGAATATCTGATCAGAAAAAGGTTTAGGATTGGAGTTACGCCCGCCTTGCAATCTAACGGTCGACACGGGCGATGAGAACTGTGATAAAAATGCCACCATAAAAGTGAGGTCATTTACTTTTTTATTTTTATAAAGATTTTTTATTGGATTTGCCCACAAGTGATGGCGTTTTTTCTAACTCGAAATTTCGCAATAGAATTGTAAACAGTTCGATAGTGATCTTTGAGCTCTCGAGGAGGATACTCTGCGGTGTAGTAGGAGATTGTTCCTTACCCGACGAGGTATACATACCCCTACCATTATCAGTTGAGATATCAACAGAATATAGTATTGTACGGTCTAATGAGCGCTGGTGTCAAAGAAAGCCACCCCATCAAAGGATTAAGCTATTCAAGAGCTCCAAAAGTGCGTCAGTGCGGCATCGCTTTCTGGTAAGCCTAAGTCTAGGATGAGGAGAAAGCCATAGACCTCTTCTTCCAGGCTACAGTTGATATGGCTACGTTCAAACTTCGCGGCAACGTCTACCTACGTCAGCCAGCGACCACTAGCGTTCCAAACGTCCGGCGTCAGCGACTAAAGAAGTATAGATATCGATCTAGCTTCTACCAGCGTCTGCCAGCGTCGACCAGCGTTCACCAGCGACCGTGGATAGAGTGTGGGGAAGTAGGGTAGCAAATAGAAGGGTTAGGCGTCGTGAAATTGCGCTGTGTGCAACGTACCGCACAACTACACTACACTACGCTGTACATTACATTGGCGGTGTGGTTTTACTTGCCGCTATTTCACGACACCTAATGCAGCTATTTGTTACCCTCCTCTTTCGTACAATCTCTATCCTATCAACGCTGATGGACGCTGGCGGACGCTGGCAGACGCTAGATCGATATCTATACTTTCCTAGTCGCTGACGCTGCCGGACGCTCGGAACGCTAGTGGTCGCTGGTAGACGCTAGTCGACGCTCGAGCGTCGAAGCCATTTGACGACGCTGTTATAGGAGGCACAAAAAGAGCTCACGCATGGTTGCGTTTCCCACCAGTAGTGGCCGCTCTCGGATAGAAAACAACTAGTGATAAAAATGCCCGGACAAGCTCATTCAAGTCTCCTGACACCGCCCCGTTGTGGCAGTATCAGTTGTATTGCAGCACCCAATTCATTGTTTCTACCCAACAATCAGTTAAGAAAGCTATCTTTGTAGAAGTTGTTTTGGTAGACTTGTGAGTTCAGCCGGGGGATTCCTGTAATTTATGAAAGAGTACCATTCATTGAAGTTCGTTATGCATTTTTAGTACCATTTGGATGCAGAAACGTTGAACTGTCTACCATTCAAATACGCAGGATGCGGTGGAAATGCCAACAGATTCCGTTCCAGTTCTGAATGTCGAATGAGGTGCTTACCAAGTAAGAAAGGCAGTTACGTTGGAGCTGAAAGTATATTACAGATGCTATCTGAATTTAGTGGACTATTTGAAATGCCCAGCAAATTCGCCTCCTACGCATAGAGCTGATGGAACTTCAGACTGTGACGAGGTGACGAAGAAATGCCCAGAAGGGTCATCTTGTCAGCGAGGATTTGTTGTGGGCATCTGTTGTGACAACAAAAATCTTGGTAGGTATTCCACAACGTTTGTTCAAAGGCATGAGGCACGATGGTTGAAGTTGCTCTAAAATGGTATTAGGGGGGTGCAATACAGTGAGAAGATGACTAAAAAGCAAAGTGAAGTGGTTAAAAACCTACGAAAACGCCTTCTCCTCTGCGCTGCATTGGAGGGCTTACGGCTGACAGAAAGCAGTTTTGAACGAGTTCCCCGCTGGCATCGTGCCAATAGCTGCCCCGATTGATACGATTGCGCGTATCATATATCAATGCAGCACCATATTCGCTTCCTGTCAATTGAACTTCGTGAATTAAGCGATAACAGTATTGGCGAAGTGGGGGTGTGACCAACTGTAGGCGGGGTGTGGGTGTGCAATGGGCGTCTGGTCGGCATGTTGCACCTTGCTAATCGCTACAAGACTGCTTTGCACCAGCGGCCACTAGTGTCCACCAGCATCTCGAGGGCTAGGACATTAAGGGTATCGATCTAGCGGCTGCCAGTGTCTGCCGCATGTCCAGGGTCCCACCACCTGCCTTTCTATCGCGCCATACTCTCCATTCCCGGACGCTGGTAGCCGCTGATGGACGCTGCCAGACGCTGGCAGACGCCGTATTAATATCTATACTCCCTAGCTCTCAAGACGCTGGTGAACGCTGTCAGACGCTGACAGACGCTGGATCGATATCTATACTTTCCTGGTCGCTGACGCTGCCGAACGCTCGGGACGCTGGTAGACGCTGTTGTTTGCTGTGGACGCAAAGTATGAACGCAGCCCAATAAAGCTATTGGTCAGCGAGGGCACAACGCAGTGCTTGTGCAGGGCACTGTAATCTTTCGTGTTAGCCCTACTAATTCTATACACCTTGTCGATTTATCGTGCCACTTGCCTTCGAATTGCTCGTGAAATCGTCCTTTCTTTCATAGTCGTCACCACTTTCTATTCAGAAAAATACTATGCGAATGTGAAACCAGATTGCGGTCATAAAAAGGTGGTCAAGGATAAATCGATAGAGTTTCCCGTGAGTTTCCTCCCTGATAAGTCAACGCAGAAAAGTGTAGTTAGTGTTGGACTGTCAGGAAAGATCTATAGCACAATTTTATAGCACACTTCAAAATCACTATGTTCTTAATTATCGGAAGTTCATTAAAGGCATAAAGCACGATTATTTGTGCTCGCTCAAAAATAGAAGCAGGGGTGTTATAAAGTGGGAAATGACGAAAATGAAATGTTGAACGGCCGAAAACCTGCGAGGAAATCTTTGTACTACACGGCATTGGACGAGTTTCCCTTTGGCATGCTGCCCGTATGTATTCACATATCCATGAAGCAACGCTCCATGTCAATTTTACCTCATAGTTGAAGCGACAGGAGTACCGATGTCGAAAGGACTGCGCAGCGTTTTGGGGGCGGGGTGGTCGTGGTGAGCGTCTGCGTCGGCATGTTGCAGCTCAATAGGGGGCTATAAGGGTGCCTTCTAAACATGCCTTGCGAGGCTAGCTCAGATGCACGGTATTCTTTGGTTATCGGCGTATTCATCCTCTCCGGTCTACGAGATTCATCGTGCCCTTTACTTTCGGAGCAAAAAACAAAAGAGCCATCAAGAATTTTCATCGCCAAAATACAACCCCCTCCCCTCTAGCGACCAATGCGAACGCCCTGTCAGGGGATCCCCAACGTATGACGTGTACTGGCTGTTTCATGCTTACACATGGTATACTAACTCCAGAGGAAGCTGGTGGACTAACAAGATAGTTCCGAGAATCGCTTTTGAGATGAAATGTAATGCCAGGGCGGCCAGCGTACAGGGGGGACGAGCAAAAAAAGCCACTTTGGCTGAGTCACATATCAGTAAGGCTTACGCAGCCCATACAAAAGATTTGGATACGAGTACCAGGGCGGAAGATATCCAAGATGTTCCTCGATAAGCAGGAGCAGGCTCTCGTCCATCACCTTCATGTACACCAAAATATGAAGCCATCTCCAATCAGTCACTTGGAGGTGACTCGATAGAAGAAGTTTCACTTACTTGGAGGTGACGGGAATTCCATGAGGCCGCAGCCTGCCTGCAGAATCTCATGGAATTTACGTCACCTCCAAGTAGCTGCGAAACTTCTTCTATCGAGTCACCAGAGCTCCAACATCGAGCAGCTCCGACAACGTCGCCACCGGAAGTTTCTGGAACGATAATTTCTTTGTGGACCCCGGACTGAAAGTGAACGCTCACTTTTACATCGAACAGCTCGACAATCCATGTCGTCGCCTGTACCATCTTGGAAACTTCGTACTGCTACAGGATTGGGTGCCAGCACATGGAATCGAAGGGCGTTGGAAAAACTCTCGCCTACTTGGAATCGAAGGGCGTTGAGTACCTGAAGAAGACGGAATATCCAAGTGTGTCACCTGACCTAAACCCCTCGATTACCGGGTTCGGGCGGAGCTCAACAGGGTGGTCTACAGTGGCGGAGAAATCAACCATCTCGTGTGGCACAATCTCTCGATAGCGTCCGTTTAGAAGGCTGTGGCGAAGTCGTGATGCAATGCGTTGTTGAAGTTGATGGTGAAAATGTCCAATAAGATTTCGATAAAGTGTAACGTATATCGCCCCGAGAGTCGAGGAAGATAAAGGTCTTCTTCTCTGCTCCCCCTCCCTGTAGTCCATATGCAGAGATATATCTATACCTATACTGAAGACAAGTATAATTACTGGATCTACTTAGTGACCAGCGGAGGATCTGCTAGTTTGACTTCACCTATGGGCTTAGCAAAAAGATGACGATTGGTTTACAGTTTTATTTGTAGTCGCTTCCTACTGTGGTTCCCTTATCGCACCCTGAAGGCGGTTTCTGGTTTTCGGAAATTTCTAATGTTTCAATTTTTTGTCGACAAGGTTTCCTGCCAACTGCTCACCTGATAATTTGTGTCCAGTTTGATTTGAAAAATGTCCACTTTGATTTGAAAAATATTCCTTGTTACGTGCAAAAATCCAGTTCAAAATTGAAATGAAAGACTATTTGGCATGCTAGCGGCATCGATATGTTTTCATTTTCTTTACATGTGGGATGACAAGTGCTTAAACGAGTGAATTCAGACAATTCTATTTGGAAAGTCCGTGTGATCATCAGTTTTGCCCCGATGGTGCTGAATGTCATCGTGGAGCCTACTTCGCCTACTGCTGTCAGTAGTCATATTTCATTCATTTACGTGTATCTCTCGCCCTTGTGTTGCCAAGCTTTATTGTGACGAGTAAATATTGAACAGAGTTTTCAAAGCTCTTGTAGTGGTTCTGAAAACTCGCTGTTCTCGAGAAACTTCACGGTGAACCAGGAAAGGTTTTGCAAGGTAGATATTTGGATTGATTTCTAGGGAAGTTTTTCATTTTGGTCATTCACTTCGTACTATTTGCTGTGCTCGCCATGCCCTTCATTCAGTCGCACAAAATGAGCAGTGTGGTCAATCCGTACTGACCAATATTTTTGACGAAACCTTACTCAAGGAACGTTCCTGGTCCGAATATGCCAAGCTGAGCAGCTCAGAGGCTAATGACAAGATGGTAGCTTAGACAAAATGAAGAAAAAAAAGCGGAAAAAGCGCATCCGAAATGCCTCAGATGGAGCCTCATGCTGACCGTGCTTATACGTGAATAAGGCGAAGAAAGGGCGTGGTATGAAGTTTCCACTAGTTGGTGCCAGCTCTCTCCTTATCACCTCACCTCACACACCTTCACCATGAAATGAAGAGAATCGGTATCGGAACAAGCGCACCATCAGATAGCAGATAAAGATGAATTCTGAAAGTTGCCGTAGCGGTGGGGCGGGGCCGTGGTCTCGTCGCGAGTGGCCCACGATTTCCGCACTCTTCAATGCTTGCGAAGAGGACTACATGTGCAGAGAAGGCGTCTGCGCATCAAATGAACGCGGAGCGTGCCTCCAGTCTTCCCCTGCACAACACAGCTCTGTAAGCGTTAACCATTTATCGGAACTGTATATAGTGTAGCAGTCTGAGTCCGGCAAGGCGGTGTCACGGGGGCGTGGGATAAGCTTACCCGCGGCTGCTTTCTATCAATAGCAGCCGGTTCAGGGAAGAAAGTATCAGTGGTGTTATTCCTGTTTAAGGCCTCACTAGGTTTCTAGGTGGAAAATTCAATAAACTAATTTCCGACTGAATTATCGTCTTAAATAATTAATGAATAATTATAGTGGCCTAAACCGATTTCAAGTTTTAGTTTCACAAGCTGTCCCACCAAGCGCCTCGTCAACTGAGGCTGTAACGATTGTGACGGTAATTGTCCCTCAATTGCCGCCCGTTGGGACCGCCGGTGTATTTGTTTTGAACCGTGGTGGGCTCTTCTCGAAGGTTCTTGAGCGACCAAGTATTACGAGT